TCCCCTCCTGCCTTCTCATCCTTGCCCATGGGCTGGTGTGCCCATTTAGTCTCATATACACGGTTGAGTTACATGTATTATTGTTTGGTTTATGGGCCTGTCCAATCTTTGGCTGAAGGGGGAAACCTCAGGAGTGATTTTAGTACTGAGTTAAAAGGGTGTCCAGTGGCCATACTCTTGGGGTTTCTCCAGTCTCCATTAGACTAGTAAGTCTGGTCTTTTTTTGTGAGTTTGAATTTTGTTCTACATTTTTCTCCAGCTGTGTCTGGGACCCTCTATTGTAATCCCTGTCAGAGCAGTCAGTGGTGGTAGCCAGGCACCATCTAGTTGTGTTGGACTCAGTCTGGTGGAGGCTGTGGTAGTTCTGTCCATTAGTTCTTTGGACTAATCTTTCCCTTGTGTCTTTGGTTTTCTTCATTCTCCCTTGTTGCAGATGGGGGGGACCAGTAGACGTATCTTAGATGGCCACTCACAAGCTTTTAAGACCTCAGACGCTATTCACCAAAGTAGGATGTAGAACATCTTCCTTATAAACTGTTATGCCAATTGAGCTAGATGTCCCCTGAGACCATGGTCCCCAGCCCTCAGCCCAGTAACTTAATCCCTATGCATGTTCAGATGTGTCTGTGAAGCTTCTGGAGCCCTGGTGGCACAGTGGTTAAGAGTTCGGCGGCTAAACAAAAGGCTGGCAGTTCGAATCTACCAGCTGCTCCTTGGAAACCCTATGGAGCAGTTCTACTCTGTCCTACAGGGTTGCTATGAGTCAAAATGGACTCAAAAGCTACAAGTTTGGTTTGGTTTATGAAGCTTCTATGACTTTGCCTTGGTCAAGTTGTGCTGGCTTCCCCAGTATTGTATACTATCTTACCCTTCACCAAAGTTTTGGTAAGATATTTTTACCACATATAATTTATTTTAAATTGTTGAAATTTCAGTTATTCAGTAAACCTTAACCAAGGTACAATTATAAATAAAATATCAAGTAGTGTATCTAGTTTCTTTTTTACTGTATGGCAAGAATTTAAATATTTATTGCCTGCCAATTGAATAACCATATTCAGGGGACAGAAGATAAACACAATAGATTTAACAAAAGAAACCCAGACAAATTAAAAAAGCTCCTGGATAGCCATTTCTAGTAGTCTATTTGTATTATATGTATGATTTATAAAAGAAACCCACAATAATTTTAAGTAATTTAAAATACTGATCTGTTATTCAAGGATCCATTTTATAAACCCATTTCTGAAAATTATCTGTAATATACTTATCAGATGTCTAATGTTGATTCAAAATTAAATGAAATGTGGAATAACTACAAAAGATTAAATTCTAATAGTACTGTTTCTTGACTGCATTGTTTCCCTCTAACTATGCTTGGGATTATTAGGATAATTATGCATTTAAATAGAGACAATTAAAATTAAATGATACAAACAATACCTTAGACATGTATAATTTAATTTTTAAAAATGCAGCTATAAAATGAGAAAGGTTTATACTTCTGGATACCAAATAATTGGTTACAGATGAAGTAAGAGCCCTTTCTACAGGAAATGTACAAATTAACCTTTCTTAAGTGTATGAAGTATGGTCTTAGCTAAATGTCAATGATCTTTTAAAACTCTATTTTGAATAGTTCTAATGGATAAACTTTTATAAGTTATAGTCACAGAAAAAGAAATGTCATTACATAATTTAGGTCCGAATTGGAAATATTTATGCGTTATAAGCCCATTGCTGAGGTTAGGGAGTTAAACAGGACTCTGCATCTATTCCAGTCATCAGATTTGTTTGTAGACACCTTTACTTTTGAAGCCTTGGTGGCACAGTGGTTAAGAGCTCAGCCGATAACCAAAACACCGGCAGTGTGAATCCACCAGCTGCTCCTTGGAAACTCCACGGGGCAGTTCTACTCTGTCCTATAGGGTCGCTATGAGTCAGAATCAACTTGATGGCACTGGGTTTGTTTTGTTTTGGGTTTTTACTTTTTAGTATTACGTCATTCTTAACAAGAAAACTAATAGTTCTTTCTTAGCTTTTTGTTGTACAAATAACAAAAAAAAAGGAAAAGACAGGAAACAAAGATGATACTGATAAACAAGGATATAAATGTCAGAATAAACCAAGCATTAAAACTGTGCTTAAGGCACTCCTACTCAGCATAGTTTTACATTGCTATACATTTCTTGTTTTATACTGTTGCGTATATCAAGTTACTAGGTATGAATCCAGTAGGAAAACAAATACAGACAGCTAATACATCCTTTCTGTGAGGAAGGTATTATAATATATAACTCACAGATGAGGAAACTGAGGCTCAGAGACTTGCCCACAGTAGATGTGGCCTGTTGTTGTGTGCTGTCAAGTCGATTCTGACTCATATCGACCCTATAGGACAGAGTAGAACTGCCCCATAGGGTTTCCAAGGCTGTAATCTTTACAGAAGCCGACTGCCACATCTTTCTCCCATGGAGCGGCCGGTACATTCGAACCGCTGACCTTTTGGTTAGCTGCGGACCACATCAGCAGGGCTCCGCTGAAGTGGCCTCGGAATTGGAAATGAGTTCTGCATTACTCCCAAGTCTATACCTACCTCCTCCCATTCCAAATGTTATCAGATTAACCTGCATACTGTTATTAGATTAATCTTGTCCATACATCACCTTTATCACTTGGTCATCCCATGTCACGGCTAAATTCTTCTGCCTGGCTCTCAGGCTTCCATGTAACTAGGCCCTACCCTCACCACTCAATCACGCTTCCTACTCTCCAGTCATTCCCATCAAATGAGTCTCACAGCACATATATTGCTCCTTCTTGCCTTGGCCTGCTCTTCTACTGGTCCCCTCTTGTGCCATATTCTGTCCTCTAAATCCTTCCTTTCCTACAAGGCTCAGCTCAAATCTTCTTCCTCCTTGAAGATTTTCCTGAGTAGATCCCACTGACATCCTCATTAATACTTCTCATTCCTGAAAGTAAACACAGTACTTACTGATAAAAGGCACTCATTAGCCTACAACTGAACTCTGTGATACGTTGTCATTGTTGCTGATGCTATTATCCTTCAATGTGTCCTATTTTTGTTTCCTCTCCATTATAAGAGTCTTAACTGCAAGGAAGTATAAACTAAACCAAACCAAACCAAACCAAACCCACTGCCGTCAAGTCGATTCCAACTCACAGTGACCCTATACGACAGAGTAGAACTGCCCCATAGGGTTTCCAAGGAGTGGCTGGTGGATTCGAACTGCTGAACTTTTGGTTAGCAGCCTGAGCTCTTAACAACTGTGCCACTAATATATCTATATATTAGCGTCCAAAAATATCCAAATATGCAACTTCAGAGATAAAACTTACTGAGGGCTAGGCACAATACTATTTTATGTACTCAATATATAGCTGTTGATGATAAAACTCAGTTTGAGTCAGAGATTCTGCCATAATGGAAAGCCTCAAAAGTTGCTTATGCGATAACCATGAGAATGCTTTTAGATGATAGCACTTCTGAGAAATGTGCAATACAGTTTTCAGTTACTATTACACATATATTAATTTAGAATTTAAAAACATTCGATAAGGAAGAATATTTGATTCTGTCAACTAATATTTATTGAAGTCTCAGAAAGTATCAAAATAATTATTCTCCTTCACTTTTACTTATACTCCTGAGCATGAAAACATCTGTTCTATAATCTTACTTATTGTTGTTAGCAGCCATCAAGCTGGCCCCCGACTCATGGTAACCCCATGCACAAAGGAACGAAACACTGCCCGATTGTGCACCATCCCCATGATCAGCTGAGGACAGGACATTGTGATTCATAGGCTAATCTTGGTACTTCTCTTAAAAATTTTTGTTGCCCCAGGATGAGAAAGCAGGAGGAGACAGGAAAGCTGGTAACAGGGAACCCAAGGTCGAGAAGAGGAGAGTGTTGACATGTTGTGGGGTTGGCAAACAATGTCACAAAACAATATGTGTACTAATTGTTTAATGAGAAGCTAGTTTATTCTGTAAGCCTTCATCTAAAGTACAATAAAAAAAACAACAAAAAAACCTCATTGCCCCTTGTTGCCTAACTCCTTATTTTGGAACACAACATTCCTCACAATCTGTTTCCAATCTAGCTCTCAGACTAAATATTTCAACACTCCCTGTACGCATGACCACAGTGGACTTCTCACCCTTATTTCCATACACTGTGTCTTTACATATGCAATTATAATTTTCTCAGTCTGCTTTTCCATCTTTATTTTTTGCCTGGTAAACTCCTGCTCATCCCTCAAGACTGTTTTAAATGTTACCTCCTCTGACTTATGGGCTCCTTAAGTCCAAGTAGGGAGCCCTGGTTGCACAGTGGTTAAAGCGCTCGGCTGCTAACTGAAAGGTCGAACCCACCAGCAGCTCCGTGGGAGAAAGATGTGGTGGTCTGCTTCTGTAAAGATTTACAGCCTTGGAAACCCTATAGGGCAGTTCTACTCTGTCTTATGGGGTTGCTATGAGTTGGAATCGACTCGAAGGCAGTGGGTTTGTTTTTTTTTTGTAAGTCAAAGTTAACTGTTGCCATCTATTTGTATGTCTGTTTTTCTACATAAATAGGGAGCTGCAGGACATCAGAGATATTGTCTTATTAATCTTTGTGTACTCTTAGCACCTGGCACAGAGTAGGAGCTCAATGTATGTTGAATAAATGGAAGAATATTTTGATAGTCTGTTAGAGACAGGGTATGTCTTCCCTATTAAATATAGCCATTTGTAATTTTCCTACAGCTGTAAAGTAATGGAAAGTGAACACTGAGTATTACCTTGACATTTTCAAAGCCTGTATGAAGTATTTTTTGGCTTAAACAAATACCCAAATGATATATAACTGTTTGGAAATGACTTTTAAAAAATCTCTTTCTGTAATTCCCTAGGCATATCAAAATTTCAACGTTTTATTCTTTTCCCGAGAGAAGTGAACATTTAGAAAGCAATTTACAAAGCAGAAGCAACTTACTTTATTTCGATCTTGCACAACCAATATTTTCCTAGTATTTTCATCAAATACAGCTCCTGTTGGTGGAAAAAATATTAATTTCATTCACTTAGATACCACCCACACCCTTATCTATGGTCATCAAAATCTTTGAAGGCCTCGTTCAAATACCACCTTATCTATGAAGACTTGTAAAATATCTCCCACAAGGAATTGATTGCTCAGTCCTCCCAACTCTTACAACAACTTCAATAAAGTACCAATTACAGTTCTATTATATGCTAACTTGTACAATCATCCGCATAAACTTCTTCTCTAGATTGTATTTCCTGATGGTACACAGTTAAAATAACTTAATCTTTCTATCCTTTTATAGTATTTATTTTAGTGTCCACACAATTTTCAGTGCTTAAAAATATTTATTGAATAAATAAATTGACTTCTCCATTTTCATTTTTATTCCTTGAATCACTATGTACAAACACAGGCTGTGCCCCCTTGACAATCTAAATCCCAAATATCTTTCAATATTCAGTTCATCACCTCCCTGAACCCATTTAATTTTCCGCATCATGGATGTATGCAGCTTTATAACATACCAATATATTGCTTTGGAATACTCTTTTTATTTTACATATGTCTTAAGTTCCAGTCCATTTATTTCATTTATTCATTCATTATACACAATGCTCAGCACAACAGGCATTTTGCTACATGTTAGGGATTCAAAAATAAATACTCTTCTTTTCTTTACATTTTTCGTTGTGCAATCCTGAGTCAAAAATACAAATGACACTTTAATGATTCATATTAGGTTTCTTTAAATACTATAATTTAAAAATATTTGCATTTATATAGTGTGGGGAGATACTTTTTAAAGATTTTTATATATTCATCTATCCTTTCAATATTAATTGAGCTATAACATAGTACATACAGTATACAGTATATGTTGTGTGCTATTGAGTTGATTCCAAATCATAGTGGCCCTATATGACAAAGTATAACTACCTCATGGAGTTTCCTAGGCTGTAATCTTTACGGGAGCAGATCGCCAAGTCTTGTCTCCCATGGAAGTTCAACTGCCAATGTTTCATTTAGCAGCTGAGTGCTTAACCATTGTGCAACCAGGGCTCCTTACATAGTATATAAACCAAACCCACTGCAGTTGAGCCGATTCCGACTTATAGCGACCCTGTAGGGTTTCTAATGCTGTAAATTTCTATGGAAGCAGATTGCCACATTTTTCTCTCGCTGAGCTGCTGGTGGTTTCAAACTGCCAATCTTTCAGTTAGCAGTTGATCTCTTTAACAACTGCGCCACCAGGGCTCCTTTATATAGAGTATAGAGTCCCTATATATAATAGCCCTGGTGGTGCAGTGGTTAAGAGGTCAGCTGCTAACCAAAAGGTTGGCAGTTTGAATCCACCAGTTTGAATCCCTGGAAACCCTACTGGGAGTTCTACTCTGTCCTATAGGGTCACTATGAGTTGGAATCACTCAACAGCAATGGTTTTTTAAAAAATATATAATAGATTAAGTGAGCTCCTGTTTTGTGCTGGATACTTCTTTAGGTGCTAGAACAAAACAAAGAAAACTCCTCCTTATGGGGCTTACATTTGGTGGTTGTGCAGTGACAAATAAATAAACAAAAAATAAACTATACAGAACATTAGAAGATAATAAATGCTATGTAAAAATAACATACAGAAAGGGGATAATTATGTGTACTACAGGGAAAAACAATTTTCTCCAAAATGAGAAGACTATACTTAGTATTTTAAAACCAGAAAGAAAAAAAAAAAAAACAAACGAAAAATCCCACTAGGTGAGATGTTAACATTAACGCTAGCCTCTATTAGAAAATGTAAACTATAATCTAATTGGACTTTATAAAAGATAGAATGCGAAAGAAATGCCATAGAAATCTACTCTTAAGTTTTAATAATCAGTAACTCAAACTGAACTTTTCCCTAATGAATTCACTTATAAACATGAACAAAATATCCCAAAGACAAAATCAGCTCAGCTAAAGTACAAGGCGAGCAACCCCTGCTGGCCACAATATAAAAGTCAAACACAAGGAGAACAGGAATTACATAGAGGTTATCATTATATTATTATGAGCAGAAGTTGTGCTAAATGCTTCCAGTGCATTATCTCACGTACTCCTCACAACAGTCCTGTGAGTGGTATCATTATTAGCTGCCCAAGTTCACACAGTCCTAAGTAGAAGACGTGGGACAGATCGTCTGGATTCTGAGCAGGCACTCTTCTCACTGTACAGCACTGCCCCCTTCATAGCACTCTTACGGGACTCTTCTTGCTCTTCCTTTTAAAATTCTATCCAACCTTTAAAGATTATTTCAAATGCCATTTTCCCCATGAACATGTCTCTGATCTACATTATCTGCACCTTTGAGGCTTCCATTATCTTTACTTCATACATCTTTATCAACCTGCTTTGCACTGAAGATATAGTACATATATTTTTTTCTGTCTTCTAGTGTTGTAGTCTTTCTAGTGCCTTGAATACAGCAAGTACTCAACTGAATTAAATTCTAACTTAAGCAAGGCAGGCAGATATAAATTGATTCATTCCTTTAATTCTATAAATATTTCTTAGTATGTTCCAGGCACTTGGTAGATACTGGGTATACAGTGGCACCCAAAACAGATATGGTCCCTCTTTCATGAAGTTATGGCCCAGTGAAGTCAAGCTAAGATAACTTAAAGAGTGGAGTAACTGCTGACCTCTGGATTCAGACAGTGGAAGCAGATACTCTGTTTGCAAAGTAAGAATACAGAAGTTCATATGAATAAAAGGGGAAGGGGTTTGCAGGGCATAAGGATTCTTTACTGTTTTGAGTTTTTCTGGAAATCTAAGAATTTCTTTAACCCTGGTTCTCAAAGGTTGGTCCTGGGACCTGCAGCAACAGCAGCAGCATCACCTGGGAACTTATTAGAAATGCAAATTCTCAGACCCCACCCCAGATCTACTGAATCAGTACCTCTGAGAGTAGGGTCCAGCAGTCTGTTTTAACAAGCCCTCCAGGTGATTCTGATGTACTATAAAATTTGAGAATCCCAGTCTTAACCTGAGGAAGTCTTCTATCAACTCTCCTATGTCCCTGAACCTAATTGGCAACTCCAAAATTCTATATCAAAATTATGCTACTTTAAACAATTGTTTGGCACAATAATTAAATGTAAATGTCTTTAAGAAATAATGTTAAAATCATTGAACAACTGGTTTGTTTTACGTTAAATTCAACCTGAAGGCATTAAAAAAAAAAATTCACGTAATAAGGACAAATTCACATAATTAGTACTAACAACTTTTACCTAATGAATTTATTTCCTGATCCCAATTTAGTGCCCCTATTTGACTAGTGACATTCAAATATCTGTATAAAACATGTTCAGACATATCCTTTGGAAAACTAAAGGCTAAACTTGCTTGTTCTCTGTGCTGCCCTCTGCTGATGTAAGACATATTTTATCTATTTAAAAGCACTATGCAATATTCCCAAGGCAGGTATCATTTAATTATTCATTCCACCTGAATAAACTATCTGCTCAGCTCTAAGAAGCAAGAAACTGGGCTGGCCTCTAAAAAGTTAATTCTGAATGTTCATTAATTTGGAACTAACCTGCAACTCCTACTTGATGTGTGGCATAGCCTGGTAATCTGCTGGGCCCTTCTCCCAGCCACAGTGTAAGCATTGATGAATCCGATTCTGCGTGGTGGAAGCGGAAGCCCAGGGAAGCAGCAGGGGCAATAAATCGGCTTTGGAGGATGGGAATGTGCAGCCATACGGCTATTTTACCTTCTGATCGCCATTGCTGTATTCCAGCTAAAATGTGGAAGAAGACAAAAATTTATAAATATTTTCCAGTAAGAGGAATGGAATAAATGAAAACTCAGCTCAGGGTCCAGGAAGCCACCTATAATCATCCACTTCCCTCACTGGCTGGCTATCTGGGGAGGAATCCCAAAGTGTCCTGTCCACATCATCAGCACTGGAATTACCATGATTTACTATCTTATCATTTCATTTATGATTTTTCCACCAGACTAAATTCCTTGACGATAGAATTAGTATAGCACTGATCTTTATATGTATATCACCTAACAAGATGCCTGGCACATAACAGGTACTCAATAGTTTTAGAATGGACAAATAAACTGATTTAAACAAAATAAATTTCCATCTTAATGCCATTCCTTTTAATATCCCTAGTTTTAATCTCTACAAGCAACTATTATGGATTTCTATTTACTTTCTTTAAGAGTTCTATCATAATTTTTTAAGTTTGTAAGTTTAAGTTTATACCTTTTTTAAGTTTATAAGATGGCTTAAAAATAAAATTAATTTTTAACAATAATGTATGTTAGTTCTAGAAAATTTCAAAAATAAAGCAAAGTATAATGAAGACATCAAAACTTCACATTTTACTAGCATGCAGAAAGATAATAAAATATTTTAATTTTTTCATGAATGTAATTTTGGAGTTGACATCATACCATATAGTTTGCATCTAATGTTTCTCACTACATATTATAAACATTTTACTGTTATTAAAATTCTGTTTATAAACATAAAATTTTAATGACTGCATAATTTTCCTCATATAGGTATACCGTAGGCTACTTATCCAATCTCCTATTCTTGGACATTTAAGCTGTTTCCAATTTTTCTTTATTATAAATAGTCCCTTGGTGAACATAAAGATAGGTTTTCTGTCTTTGACTTCTTTAAATTCTCCAACTTTATTACTTAATATTGAGGCAGGGGAAGAAGATGCTAATATTTATTTAGTCCTTACTAAGTTCCAGACCATTTACATACATTCTCATTAAGTTCTTACAACCATGAAAGGCACATAATATACACCCTAATTTAAGGAAGAAATGAATCCTTCATATTTTTAGTTTAACTTTCAGATTACTTTCTCCATCCATCCTCTCACTTAGTCATTACAAGAATTCTGTGTGTGTGTTGGGTGGGGGGAGTATTCAATTGTTAATTTCCTTTCCCTCTCTCCTCAGCTCTGCAGTAAGCTCCTCCTCCTCAACAATCATGCTCTACACTACATCTTTGCATCTGTGTGCCTAACACAGTGACGGTCACAAGGGAGCCTTTAATAACGTTTATTGATTTGACTTAGCATGCAATGGGGCTGTAGGATCAAATCAGATGGTAGGTGGTAGAGTGATTCATCCTTCTCACTTTCTTCTCTTTCTCTGATTAAATAGTTTTTTTTTAAATGAGGTATAATTACAAAAAGTAAAATACACATATTTTAAGTGTGCATTTGATGAGTTTTGACAAATGCAAGAACCTGTGTAACCCAGACACCTGTCAAGATTATATAACATTTGTATCACCCCAGAAAGTTCCCACGTGCCCTTTCCCAGTCAATCTTTTTAATCAAATGAAGAAGCTAAAGTTTTCAAAAGCTTAGGCATTTGTTTGCTGCTTTCTCCCCTTATACTCTTCTGCTTTGGAGAATCCATCTACTCCTATTGCTTCAGCTAATACCTACATGAGGATGGTTTCCTAGTCCTAACCTCACTGAGCACTAAACTTTTTTGCTCTCCAGCTGCTCTCAGATATTTCCTAAAAGATGCCACTTCAAACTTCACACAGTAGGTTCAATACTGAACCCTACACTGTGCACTCCAAACTAGCTTCATTATAGGCTTATTTCCGGCACCACTGCTTGAAACCTTGGGGTCATTTTTCTTTCTCTTTTTCTCCATCAAACTTTAATATTTTTTCCTCCCAATCCTCCATTTCCTCAGCTCATATCCATTACTCAAAGCCCAGCTCATATCCAACCTTTGATAAAAATCTTTCCTAACCAATGCCATGTGCTCCCTCCATATCTGACATTAAGGACTACTACTGCGTCTGTGGAGCCCTGGTGGTGCAGTGCTTAAGGCCTCGGCTGTTAACCAAAAGGTTGGCAGTTGGAATCCACCAGCTGCTCCTTGGAAACCCTAAAGGGCAGTTCTACTCTGTCCTACAGGACAATTATGAGTCAGAATCTACTCGACAGCAATGGGTTTATTGGCTTTTTAAACAATGTCTTTGCCCCTAAGTGGTGCAAAGGTTAACGTGCTCGGCTGTTAACCCAAAGGTTGGAGGTTTGAATCCACCCAAAAGCACCTGAAAGATAGGCCTGAGGATCTACTTCTGAAAAATCAGCCATAAAAAACTCAATGGTGCACAGTTCTACTCTGACACACATGGGATTGCCATGAGTGGGAGCTGACTCATTGACAACTGGTTTTTGGTTTCTACTATGTTTGTACAACTTATTGGAGGTTGCGATAAGTCACAATCAACTTGACAACAACAGGTTTTTGGTACAAATTATTGGACCTTATTACGTATTGCCTAATAATATCTCTTCTGTTATCTATTTTTTTCTAATTTATTTTATGCATTCACAAGCTTCCAGGTTAGCACGATATTATGCACTAAGGCTCAATTCATATTGATTAGACTGAGTTGCTGAAAGTAACACACTGGCATAGCAGGGACCAGAACCAGGGTTAGTTCACCACTGACGCAGACAAATGATACGTGAAGCTGAACAGTATATTACCTGCTCATCCATCATCATGTTAATTTTATAGCTGTAAATACGAAAATAGGAACACTAAAAGAATAGTGGATGCATGTGTAAATATGTGTTAAAAACTATGCTAAAAGATTATACACAAACAGTACAACTTACTTGAAAAGAAAAAAGATTTAGACTTCCTATCAGGCTTTCTTCTCAGATTATTTCAATTTTTCTTTACAAGAATTTCCATTCAATCAGTTTTGTTTACCCCAGTAACAGCAGAACTAACAGTAAGTCCTTAGAGGCAGCATAGCGCAGTGATTAAGAACAGATTCTAGAGTGAGGGAAGTTACTAAGCCTTTCTATGCCTTCATCCCATCATCTATAAAATGGGAATAATACTACTACCTACCTCATTAGGTTATTATGAAGATTAAATGAATCAACATTTGTGAAGTACTCAATACTTAAAACTTATTTTATTAAAATACATATATGAAAAGTATATTGTACTTCAGTTTACAAATTTGTTTCACATATATTTATCTTTGATAACCACATTCATCCAGTAATTAGGTCTGGCTTCAATCACATAAGCAACCTAAGAGGTAAATATTTTCAGAGTTGATTTGCCTAATGCCTGGCTAAGCATGTGGCAGAATTTGAGACTTGAACCCTTATGCATGAGCCCAAATCCAACATAATTTCTACATCACCATGCTGACTGGGGCAGTGTTTTGATCACCTTTTTGGTCACTGACAAGCATCAGTGTGTAAGATAAAAAATGTGTGTACTCACACATATCAGAGGTTGAACACTGATTTGATTCTCCAGCAGTGATATTGTTGGAGTCTAAGTGGCAGCCTGGGTGGTGCAAGGGGTTAAGCACTCGACTAGTTAAAAGGTTGTAAGTCCAAACCCACCCAGAGGCACCTTGGAAGACAGGCCTGGTGATCCATTTCTGAAAAGTCACAGCCTTGAAGTCCCTATGGAGCAGTTCTGCTTTGCACTCATGGGGTTGCCGTGAGATGGAATTGACTCAGTGGCAACTAACAAGTGGGCTTATGAGCAATTATTCACAAGCAGGCAAAAAAAAAATGAGGTGAAAAGGTAAGTAGTTTGGAGATGAGGGTGATTTAACCCTGAACTAACTTGGTGAATTGTATTTCCATATATGCTTACTTGGCATATTGCTCAAAAGGATGAAGATTATTTGAAGTTCCCTGTGTAACAGGATTTTTCCATGGCTAAATTTACATGTTACATCTTCAATTTGATTGTAAGACGTTTGGTGGCAATTTGAAAAACAGGCTGCCCCACAAAACAATGGCTTCTCCCACAGTGAAGGCTCCTCTATCCAAGCTTTCTTTCTTATCACTGAGTTCAAGGTTCAAAACAAGCGGAGAATTTTCATATTGAAGATTGAAACCAATCACTCTCCCTGGTTAATCAGAAGAGACAATGTTGCTTCGTAAACAGAACCAAACTCCATGTCCTGACCCTACGAAAGACTTCTAAATACGATATGACTACTCAGAACCTCTCTTGTCCATTCATTTGTCCATAGCTTTTATTAGAATGTGAGATAATTTTGTCTTGGGAAAAAGTGCCGGGCAGACAATCTTCAGATGTAGATTAGACTGGACTATACGACATAAACGATAGCCGTGAGGAGACTGCCTCTTAGCTCAAGTAGATACATGAGACTAAATGGGCAGCTCCTGTCCGGAGGCGAGATGAGAAGGCAAAAAGGGACAGGAGCTGGTTGAATGGACACAGGAAATCCAGGGTGGAAAGGAGTGTACTGTCACATTATAGAGAGAGCAACCAGGGTCACATAACAATGTGTGTATGAATTTTTGTATGAGAAACTAACTGGAACTGTAAACTTCCACTTAAAAAAAAAATCATTTAGCTTCCAATTTGGTATAGCATGTGAGTTCCCCAGGCGAACAAGAACGGACATTTGCGTGAGGGGGAAAAAAATGCCCGACAGAACCAAAGCTCGGTAAATGATAACAAATAATAATGATAACGTAACTATATTAACAAATATTCACCGAGCGCGAAATATGCGGCAGGCACCGTGCTAAGTATTTTCTATTCATTATTAAACTTAACCATCAGCAACCCCATGAGCTCCTACTGATTTTATGGACGGGGAAACGGTAGTTTACAGAACTTGCCGAAGGTCACACACTAGAAAGCTGACCAGAACCAAGGCTGCCGATCCCAAAGTCCAGGCTCTTCACCACTTAATCCAACCGCCTCGACACTTCTCAGCAAAGGTCATAAGAAAAGGAAGACAGGTCGGGTCACACACGCCCTCTCCTCGACCCCCTGGGCTCCGCACGAGACGGGGGCTGAGAACGACCTGGGGGTAAGGGCCGCAGTTACTTCATTTGAAAGCCTCCGGGGCCCCGGGAAGCCCCTCGCCCCCGGCGCACTTGCCCTGCAAGCCTCTCTGGAAGGTGGCCTCGTCGAGGGGGTCTAGCGCGCCGAGCCGCGCCAAGCGCACGGAGACGCCCCCGAACCTGTCCCACTCGCCAGGCAGCTCGATCACTCCGGCCGGAGTGTCCCGCGCGCGGCCAGGCCCATCCGAGGCCCCGCGGTGCCCTGCCGAGAACCCTGGGCGGCGGGCCCGGACCAGCGCCGCGCGCCAGCAGCTCCTACTCAGTAGCGGTGACATCGCCTCACCGGCCCACGCCGCCTTTCTCGCTCGGCCCCCAAGTCTCCCCTCCTCCGCGAGATCACTACCGTACATTTTAGAAGAGTGCCATCCACTCCCTCTCAGCTAACGTGGGCTTCCAAGTTTGCACCGCTCTCCCGAGGAGACTGCGAAGTGCTTCCCACCAGCCCGCCTTAGCAATTAGCCCGGGAAAGGCGGGGAGAGACTTCCCACTCATTTTTTTGCTAGTTTAATTCAACACGCGTTTAGGGATGGGGGAAAGCGGGCAGGGATACGAAAAAATTCTGTTTTTTAGGAATTCACAATCTAAACGGTGGTTTTGTCCACTTAATCCGTCTTCGTCTGCCGAAGCCAGAATCTCTCTAACCTCTTCAAAGTCCCGCGGGTTTTGAAAACGCTCAGTTTTCGGTTTCCTACCGCACTCCACCCGTGGGATTACGGCTTAGGGCGGAGCCACGCTGACTTCTGCCCCGGAAGTTTTTCCTCTCAGAGAGGCGCGCAGATTTAGCCGGCTTTGCCGTTGCTTCGCCCATGCTACTTTCTGATCATGTCGTCTAAGAAGAACCGAAAACGGCTGAACCAAAGCGCGGAGAATGGTTCGCCGTCTCTCTCTGCAGCTTCTTCACCTGCTGGGGCCTCGGCTCCTGCTGGGCCAGGCTCCGCGGCGGCGGCCGGAACTCTGGCAGTGACGAACTTCATAGAAAAGGGTAAAGATTTCTGAGGGGGAGACCTGAGGCTGAGGGGACGCAGTCCGAGAGGAGGGAGGCCCAGCGATGCTGCCTTGAGGCGCAGAGGCTTTTGAAAATTGGGCGAGATATAGGTGTGAGAGCAGCAAAAGAAGTATGTAAGACTCCTGTGGCCGCATCTGCATTGGAGACGTTAGGCAGAAATGGTTTATCTCTGGCTAAGTCAAGCGCTGTCTTTTGTAAATTTTGGTGAATTTCTAAAGTTGCACTTGAAAAAAACCTTTTCTCATTCAGTATTAACGTCATATTTAACGGTGCAAAATTGTTTGTATCTTGAGCCCGAATCTGGCGAGCGTATACTAAAAAAACTAAATATCCAATTTAGTAAAGATGTGGATTATATACTTCCTAAAAGACATCACTGTGCCTTTAGGAATGAAGATGACTTTTTCTTTCACTCCTACACAGATTCTGGAATTTAATAGACCAAAACCAAACCCATTACTGCCGAATATATCCCGACTCATAGCCACCTTATAGGACAGAGTAGAACTGCCCCATAAGGTTTCCAAGGAGCGGCTAATGGATTCGAACTGCCGACCTTTTGGTTAGCAGCCGAGGTCTTACCTGCTGTGCCACCAGGCCTCCAGCAACCCTATAAACCCATTGCCAATCGAGTCAATTCCGATTCATAGCAACTGTATAACAACTATTAATTGCAAGAGAGCTGTGATGGCACAGTGGTTAAGCACTCAGCTGTTAAGCAAAAGGGCAGCAGTTGGAACCCACCAGCGCTGTGATGAGAGAAAGATGTGGCAGCCTGATTCCGTAAATATTTACAGCCTTGGAAACCCTGTGGGGCAGTTCTACTCAGTCTTACAGGATCCCTATGAGTCGGAATGAAGTGGATGGCAATAGGTTCTACTTTTGTAAGGATATAGCTATTGAAAACCCTGAGGAGCACAATTCTACTCAGTGGGGTCTCCATGAGTTAGAATCTACTCCACAGCAACGAGTTTTGTTTTTTGTTTTAGTAGGTTAGGTACTTCACATACGTATCTCATTTAATCTGCATAGAAGACCTGGGAGATGGGTACGGTATTATGCTCATTTAACAAAGGATGAAAGGTTAATGTGATTTGTGCCAGGTTACACAGAGCCAGAGCCAATATTTGAGTCCAGATGCATTTGACTCCAAAGTCAATCTTCTACATCACAGCTCACTTGACTTGGAAGAACAGATTTATCTGAAAAGTCATTTAGTCTGTAAAGCTTCTAGCAGACTTGATGTGTAATAGCTTTGAAAAATAAACCAGACTGAAATTAAAAGTGGCAAGATTTTTTGTCTAATGCAGACCCTAAAGACAATCTTAGAATTAACATAGTGTTTTCATTCTCCTTTAGGGATCAGAGGACAAATTTTTCTGTCCTGCACATTCAACCTCTTTTTCTCCGCTGGATCCTTCCCACTGAAATTTAAATGTGCTCATTTCTCTTGCTTAAATCAAACTAAAAGCTCCACATTTTTTTCCTACCACAACCCTCTCTCTCTTTAGCTTTCATTGCCAGACTTCTTAAATGGAGCTGTCTCTGCCTCATCTCTCACTCTTTAGCCCGTTATTAGTTAGCTTTGAAATGATCATTCTGTGGAAATTGTCCCTGCTGTGGTCACTGATGACCGCCATGTTGTTAAATCGAATGGATGCCTTTTCATTACTTACCTTAGTTGACCTCTCAGCAGCTTTTGGCATTGTCAACTTTTCCTCCGTCTTGAAACACTTTCTTTCTTGATGTATGTGTCATGAAACTTTCCTAGTTTTTCTCCATCCTCATTGATATTTCCTCATAGTTTCCTTCATAGGCTCATCCCATTCCATCTGACCATTAAAGGCTGAAGTTTCTCAGTTCTTAGACCTAAACTCTTTCTTTCTATATATTTTATCTTGGGAAGTTCATCTAATGTCTGGAGTTTCCCATCTACACCCTCACATTTTTAGATTTATATTTTTAATTCATTCTGTTTCTGAGACTTGATTTAGTAGTTTTCTAGAACTTTGCTTCTCAAACTCACTTTGATGACGGTTTTTAAATTTCTATTATGTTACAGATCAACACTTTTATAAAATAGAGTAAAAATGAATTACTAGAAAAATAAGTTAAAAAAACAAAATAAACATTTTTATTAGATTCAACAGATATAAAATTACTCTGTCAAATTGCAATAAAAGTTTCCAAATGTTTACTCTTATTTTCCTTACTTAAATCATCATGAACCAGTAACAAATAATTTGTAGATCACTGTTTGAATTGTACTGTACTACACGTCTTCTCTTGGTTTTCTCATAGGTATTTTAAGACTGACCTCATTTGCTCATATGTCTTCCCACAAAACAAAACAAACTCTAGCCCTCTTCCATTTTTCCTTTTGCAAAATTCAGAAATCTGATATCACCCATGACACCCTTCTCTCTCTTATCTCACATATTCAGTCCACCACCAAGTTCTATTCAGCACCTAAATATCTTCCAATTCCTCTTCTCAGCTTCCGCCTTAGTCGTAGACACCATCATCTGTCACCTGGACTGTAATAGCCTTTTAACTGGTTTTTCTGCTTCCCATTTTACTCCCAATTCCTTTTCCTCTTTGCAGCCAGAATAATTTTTTTTTAATAAAGATACTGTCATTACCCAGTTTCTCACCCCTGACTTAACTCCCATTGCTCTCAGAATAAAGACCACCCCCAACCCTGCCCTTGATATCTCCACAGCAGCTCCTGATCCTCTGCCCTCCACCTGCACTCAGACCCTGTGCCCCTAGGGCTGCCTGGTCCACACCTCAGTTCTTACCACTGTAGATGGGGTCTCTTTTGCTCTGCCCTACCAAAGCCTGCCCCATCATGGGGTCCCTCTGAAGGGTACCACCTAGTTTCCATCACTGAATCCAGCCTACCGCCCTGCATGGTCCAGACCTTCCTTATATGCCCTGCCTAAAATGTCCCACTACTCTGCCATGTACTCTTTCCAACAGGTGTATGTATCGTACTTCCTTCTGTCCTTTTGCTGAGAATTACCTTTTTCTTCTTTTCTTTCAGTTAATTCCTAGTCTTTCTTCCGGTCTGCATTTAAACATTACTTCCTTTGAGAAGCATTCCCTGATTCTTCTAAGTTAGGTCATATCCCCCATTATAAGCTCTCTTAGCACTCTTAATCATTCTTCCATAGCATTACTTTTGGTTTATAATTATACAATTATTTAGTGATTGTTTGATCTCATCCTACTAGATTATAAGCTTCCCTGAGGCCATGGACTGTCTTTTGTTCACCTTTTATCCCCAATGCCTAGCGTAGTATCTGCCATATAGTAGGCCCACAGTAAATATTTGCTGAATGAATAAATGAAGGGTGGATGGTTTATTGTTTGAAATTACGTCCTTGGTTAATCTGGCACATAAGGTGCTCAGTAAATAAGAAGGTAGTTACTTGGGGAAAGTGGATGTCAAGATACATTTTAAAGTACTGGATGAATGTAGACTAGTGAAGGGAATCGTGTGAAGGCCAGCTTGAGTAGATTTGGATGATATTAGCAGAGAATACAATGGAAGTGTATGAGGAAATAAGACTTTTTTTTTTTTTTTAGTATTTTATTGTACTTCAGGTGAAGGCTTACAGAACAGATAGTTTCTCATGTAACAGTAACA